GGTTAAGGAGATTGATTCAGAACTGCCAAAACTCGACTCACAAGTTGTCTGAGCAACACGGGCAAATATGCTCCCCAGAGTCGTGTAGCTATGTATTGAAATATACACAGAAAAAAGGGTCAGATACAATTCCCCACTCATATTTAAGACAAGAACAACACCGACCAAACCTTCACACTTGCACTATTTATTAAAGCTCCCCGAAGAGTCAGAAGTCATCCCGTGACAGTCTACCACGAAATCCTTGCATCAGCTGTGGTTCGACCTACCATTTGGAAAAATTTCCAAATATTTATTTGATTGAATATAAAAGACTTAATTGGGGAGTGGGAGGAGACCAGCTAGTTAGTGCGACGCCAAAGGTATATAGCCCTTTGTGTATGTTGTTATCAGGGCTCTCTAAACCCCTGCATTAACATAAGTATATACGCTACACTATTGCTGGGTTTCTGAGTGCTGCTGCTGACAAACTTTTAATGAGCACATCATGTTACTGTAGGGTGAAAACCAAACACCTTCTTAGTAAAGAAGTAGCCAGTGGCGTACTTTTTTGCAGCCAGTAGAGCAAACCCCACTGTATTTAACACAACCGGGGACACCAACAAAGCTATGAAGTTCTCTAAGAGGGGGATGCAACGGAGTCAAAGAATGAGTCTAAGTCTAAACAAGATAACACCGAGGAGAAATTTAACTCGAGTTGGTTTTAAAACAGTACATGGTATGTCAGAACAAGTCATCAGAAACTTATGAAGGGACCCTGGCCCTTCTCCACATCAACACTGTAGCATATACTGTGTGACTGTGACAAATGGTACAATAGTTTCAGCAAATAGATGAATGCCCAGGAACTTTGAAAGTGGCTAAGGAAAATGTTCACGAGGATAATAAACATTTTATAGTTAACACTTCAGAACACAATACCGTATATCAGCAAAAGTTTAATAAGGGAATTAAACACTTCTTTCTAATCACATACATGGCAATAACTGCATCTCTTACACCTCACCTAACCTGTAAGTTTCGTGGCAATCGGTGGGCTAGTATTATTCATAAACATGAAACTTAATTGAAAAATGCGTTTCTGACCTACGAAAAAGTTTATCTGTTTTCATTAGTGGGATAACACTGTAATGAATATATTTACATCTCATTGGAGGAAAGCTAGATCTCTCTTTGCTTCGAGCCACTGTAACCCCCGGCACCCATCCCACCAATGATAAAGGATTACTTTCAGTATTTCCAAGTGCTGAGTGTCTGTGTGCAGTGTCTGCCTTTCCCTTTTTTCTCTTTCAGAGAGGCTGGTGTACCCTCTCTCTCTCTCTCTCTCTCTGCCTGGGGAAGTCAACCAGGATGAGGAACAGAGCTGTCGCCTATTAGCGCTCATGTGAGTTGGGAAGAGAGAGTATTTGTGTCTAATTTCCACCCTTGTGTGTCCAGGGTTACAATAATCATACACATAGCGGCTACTAGGGAGACAGCCTGAGTCTCCATATTGAAATTGACTGTACCCCCATAGAATGTCTGCCCGCAATGTTGATTATCCAGCTATAAGTGCTTACTGATAGAACTGCTCTCGCTTCGGATCTGCTGCGCCTAGAATATTAAAAAACCCCAAGCGAGTTGGATTGAAGGATCTTGTTAATGACAAAAAAAAAAAAATCTGGACAGTAAATGAAAAGAAAACCATTGCCGATCACTCCTCAAATTGAAAATCCTGCCTCATCCGGGTTTGTTTGGAGGGCGCGGGAGGTGTGTGTGGGGATGTTATTGTTAAAAGATCCAGCTTTATTAATACGTTAAGAAAGAGCTCCCTTGGCAGTATGTGTTCTTACAGCTCCGTCTCAGATCCCATAAAACATTAATGCACTGAAAGCTGCTACAGAGATCAGCACCACCAGCTAGAAGCATTGTGAAGCCTTCACCTTCGAAGGGGCTCCATTATGGAAACGATTTTTTTTTATTTAAAAAAACGGGGCTTTTGCAAACCTCTCAAATTTTCATTTTATAGAGTTACAGCACAATAATCCATGTAGGATGTGTGTGTGTGATACACGCATACACACACACACATATATACCATCCAACGAGCAAACCTCCAGTTAGCTTTCTGTATTAATGGGATGGGAATACCCTTTACATTTAGTGACTGGAGGAGAGAAAAACAATAATACCGATCCTGTCAGCAGAAGATAGCAAATGCAGCACACAATCAGACCACACAGTGTTGGGTCTTTGAATTCTTGGGAAAAATCCCACTAGGCTTTTAACAAACGAATAACAGGCAAAATAACTACAGTATACCTTATATTGCACATTACTGCACAGTGATGGTAGAATACAGTGACTCCAAACCTTGCCCAGGAATTCTAAAAGGAAATAGCACTGTCTAAACTTAGCAGAAGCTTCAACTGACAAGAAAGGTTTTTCAAAATGCGTTGACCAGGGTATATGCACTTAGCTTTGTGATACAATCGCAGATAAATTGATTCATCTATGATACTGAACTGTTTGTGTTCGCATCTGTCTCTTAAATCCTAAATGTACACAATCAAATCAGTTTTGGAACACTGTGTGTTTTATACAACTTTGTAGCCCCCCTACAAGTTTTTAAAAGTTCTCCCATTTAATCCCACTGGAAGTTAAAAGCGAGGGAGTATACGTTTGTAAACTCTGTTGGCATGGTCAAGCAACAAGACTAATGTTTTTTTTGCTAAATTCTTTTATTTTTGTTTAAATTCTCACTTCAATTTTAATTCTTGAAGAACAGCTTCGACAACATATATCGCACTCATTATAAGAAGCAAAGGGTTATATCAAAAATTATTAGTATAGAATCACAGGAAACCTGGTTTGGAACCAGAAAAAAATACAAAACAGATATAGATACATAGACACAGGACAATTGTTTTTTATAATTATTTGGAAAATGTTATTTTCCCCTAATTCTTGTTTCTTTTTTCTTTATGCGCATACGATGTTTTAAATTTTACCAAAAAATGAAAATAAAGACTAATATTTTACAAAATGGATAACAATGTTCGTGGTAAGTGTTTGCGTGTGTGTGTTTTCTACACAAGATTCAGTTCAGCGTCAATATTTTTTGTTTGTTTCTTTGTTTCTGTACAGAATATATCCACATCAGTCCACAATACATTCTGGAAGATCCATTATTCTCCTTCTGGTTTTATTAAAATCCCCTCGGTCCTTTTTCCAAAATTTTCCACAGACACAAGGTCCTTTCTTTTCCTTTCAAACATGGTCACAGATCTGATCCTACACGAGTCTTTATTTTTTTTTGTTTATTGTCTGCTTTCCCCCCCTCTCTGCACCCCAACTTTACTCGGTTCGTATATTTCTGTTTGTGTTGGTCCTCAGTGTCTCTATGGGGGTGTTGGCTGTGCTCTAGGAACACTGGATAGACATGTAAGGCCAGTTGAAGCTGCTCCCAGACAGTAACATATCTCTGATGAGGGTTTCAATGGGGGTTTTACCTACCAAACGGACGAAGAAGAGCTGCTCGATGACTGAGGACGAGACGGTGCGCAGGGAAGGCAGCCTCAGGAGCAGTTTGCCGAAGCGACTCGGCTGGTTGGGGTACTGGCTCCTCACATATTCCTCCAGGGCGCATTGAGATTTCTCTTGCAGGCTCTCGATATGGGCAGCATCTGACAGGCCACAGGCATCTGCCCAGGCAGCCACACACCAGGAGGAGACAAGGAGGGGAAACAGTTAGTTACTCAGTAAGCAAGCGAGCAAACAGCATACATACACAGGGACTAAATACACCGTCCCACCGCCCCTTCCAACCATAACACCCCCATCAGCACCCAGGCAGGGCTAGCCGAGCAGCCACACCGACAGACAGAGAGACGCGCAGGCAAAACCTCCCTTTGTGTTTCCTCCTCCACCTTGGAAATAAATAATGTAAGACGCTGTGTGTGTGTGTGGTGGGGGTGGGGGGGGGT